TGTCAGCCATCTGCTCTGGCAGAAGCAGGTTTCTGCAACTGCCTTTCAAAACCGGTTAGTTCTCAGGAGATCTTGACTCTGGGCGCTGGTAAGCTGACGCAGATGCAGCGAAGGAGCCAGTGACCTGTATGGCTCTTTTTAACCAAACGCAGCTGATTGATAATTGCATTACAGCACTTAGCATTTTTAGCTGAAGGTTTTGTTTAATGGTTCCACGGCTTTCCGTATGCTAAGAAGTAAATTTAGAGGCAGCCTTACTGCTGATTTTATCTTGAAGGATTAAAAAAAAGTCACTCTTACTGCAGCATCTTGCATTATTTCATTTCTTACCCTACCACAATAGGTCTTAGTTCTGACTAATACTGTTCATCCTACTTACACAGTGTTAAATTTTGGACATTAAGGGCAAAATTTAGGTAACCTGTGAGAAAAGAAAGTGTTAGGATACAGTGCTAGCATTGATAAAAGGTGGAGACGAGTCAAAGATCTCTCTTAGGTGTGAGCCTGTGTCACAAGCCGGCAGAGGTGCAGAAGTTGAACAGAAAGAGCTCAAACTTGGCCACGTACTCTGGTTTTCCCTGTGTACAGGGGTAGGGGGAACCTCTGCTCTTTGGATGGAAAGGAAGCATTAAATGCTACTAGTGATAATCTCCCTCCCCCCCCCTTTTTTTTTAATTCTAGTTTTGTCAACCTCATTCTCTAAGCCTCCTTCTGCCCACAAAACAAATGCAGACTATTTCTTCATTTGGAAGAAATAAAAAACTACACCGCTCTAAGTCATTCACCTGAAACTGTTTTTAAGAGCATAAGGACCTAGGATGGCAAACATTAAAACCAACTTATTGATGTTTGCATAAGGTTATTTTTAGGCCCATGAAGGTCAAGAAGGTGACTGGGAGTAGTCCACACGGGTTCACAAAGGGGAAGTCATGCTTAACCAACCTAATGGCCTTCTGTGATGGAATGACTGGCTGGGTAGATGAGGGGAGAACAGCGGATGTTGTCTACCTGGACTTTAGCAAGGTTTCTGATACTCCCTCCTGTAACGTCCTCACAGGCAAGCTGATGAAGTAGGGGCGAGATGAGCAGGCTGTG